CCTGTTGCACAAGACTTAACACATTTAAATACTACATCTTCAAGTTCAATAGTAGAGACAAATGACTCAATTTCTTCTTCACATGAGCCTCATAATGCAACACCAGACACAGGAAATCAAGCAGATCAATTGCAATTAGATGAGAACCTTCCAGCTAATTCATCTGATCAAAATTCATTCTCTCAACCTACTCACAATGCCATTCATCAACATGAACAAGAAGGAAAAGTAAACCAAGATCCTCATGTGCAGGAAGCCACCAATAGTAGACCAAGTAGAATGGCCAGACCACCAATATGGCTTAGGGACTATATCACTACTATTAAGCCAAGAACACATTGCACATATCCTATATCACAGTATGCCACATATTCCCATCTCAGTCCAAGTCATCAGACTTACTTGGGTTCCTTTTCTGTACCAATTGAGGCTAAATCTTTCAAAGAAGCTTCTTTAGATCCTAAGTGAATCCAAGCAATGCAACAAGAAATGGATGCATTAAAAGGCAACAAGACTTAGGAGTTAGTGACACTACCAGCTGGGAAGAAAGCCATAGGCTCTAAGTGGGTATACAAAATTAAACATAAAGCCAATGGAGAGATAGACAAATATAAAGCTAGATTGGTGGCCAAGGGATATACAAATTGGAATGACTAGATTACCATGAGACTTTTTCCCCAGTGGCAAAAAAGATTACTGTCAGGACAGTAATCAGTATAGCAGCTTCAAAGAATTGGCTCTTGTATCAAATGGATGTCAATAATGCCTTTCTTCAAGGAGACTTATATGAGGAGGTCTATATGGACCTACCACAGGGATTCCATAAATAGGGGGAGTATAGGGTCTGTAAACTGCTGAAATCTCTGTATGGGCTAAAGAAGCGTCAAGACAATGGAACATCAAGCTTACTACTGTTTTATTGGAAGCTGGATACTGTCAAAGTCCACATGATCATTCACTACTCACTAAGCAACAAGAAGGTTGCATTGTGATCATCCTAATCTATGTGGATGGTATACTTATCACTGGTAGTGGCAAGGGTTTAATTGATGAAGCAAAACGAACTTTGGACAATAATTTCAGAGTGAAGGATTTGGTCGAGCTCAAGTACTCCTGGGTAATTGAAGTGCTCAGATCACAAAAAGGGATACTTGTTAATCAGAGGAAGTATGCCCTAGAATTGGTGTCAGTGTGGGATTAAGTGGTGCAATGCCAGTGTCCCCACCACTTGAAGCCAACACTAACTTGACTACTACAGAGTATGATAAGCTGACAGGATGAACAGATGATCTTTTATTGGAGGACATCAACAACTATAAAAAATTAGTAGAAAAATTGATTTATCTAACAATCACAAGGCCAGACATCTTCTTTACGGTACAAGTCCTTAGTCAATTCATGCAACAACCAAAGATATCACAATGGGATGCAGCACTCAGAGTGATTAGATACATTAAAGGATACCCAGGCTTAGGGATATTCATGTCTAAGAACTCCACAACTCAGTTAAATGCATTCTGTGATGCAGACTGGGTTGCATACCCTAACACTAGGCGCTCAGTGACAGGTTATGCCATCAAATTGGGTGACTCTTTAATCTCTTGGTTGTCGAAGAAACAACATATTGTTAGTAGAAGCTCGGCAGAAGCTGAATATAGAAGCATGACAACATGTGTAGCAGAAGTTGTGTGGCTACTTAGTCTGTTACAGGATCTAGGAGTGTCTATTCCGGACTAGTTCCACTCCATTGTGATAGTAAAGCAGCTATCCAAATTGTTAAAAATCCCACATTCCATGAGAGAACCAAGCATATTTACATCGATTGTCGCTTTATTCGTGAGAAAGTAAAAGAGGGGATGATTCATACTACCTATCTAGCTACTCTGTTACAGATTGCAGATTTGCTAACCAAAGGCTTAGGTGTAAGCCAACATCATCTTCTTCTTTCCAAACTAGGTGTGCTCGATGTCTTCCACCCTCCGGTTTGAGGGGGAGTATTGGAATGTATATTCGAAGAAGCAGAGGAGTGCAGCTAGAAGAGCATAAGCATAACTGTTAGCTGGTTGTTAGAAGCAGTTAGTGATTAATGAGCTATCAGTTAGTTGTTAATTGTTAGTTGATGAAGTTAGTCAGAGTTACGTGACACGCACGTGACAGAGAAGAAAGCATCAGCTATATAAGCTTGTACATGTACTCATTCTAGCATGAGCTAACATAGTTTCTTCCGTCTCCCTTCTGTATTCTCTCTTCGGATTAATTCTAAACCCTAATTGCAGTAGTCAATTTGACAGTTCAAAACTTAATAGTGGTAATCAGTTATATGTCAGGTTATTAGATTTGATATAAAAAATTATACATGTCAATTTAATTTGATGGTGTCCGAGGATCACCTCAAAAATATAAAAGGTCCTAGTGTACTATGCAAACATGTTTCACTTTATTCCACGTAACTAAGTCCCCGCTCCAATATAGTGCAATTCAATTCTTTGAATCTTTGTGTAAGCTGCGAATCCATAGGTTCGTAGGTTTCCATTTTTTAGAGAAGATACAACTTTCTATAGGGTTTCCTATTCTTGTGAAATCTCTTTTCTTTTGATAATCAGTTGAAACATCTCATCTTAGCTTTGCTGATGAGCCAGCTCGTCCTATTGTCCCCACCGGCCCCCTCCCCAACACCCCCCACCCCCACCTCCACAAGGGTCAAATAACTTATCAAGACATAATTGTCTCATCTTTTTTTTTTCTTTTCTAAAACGTATATTAAGTGTTGAACTCTCATGTTCCATATTACTTCATCTAGAAATAAATATATACCAATAACCCATCTTTCACTATTTTCTATCCACTACCTATCAATTGTCAGGCACTGGGTCAGTTTTTTGAGTTGCTTTGTCTTTTCTTTCTTCTTTTACATAAAAATGGGAAAGTTACATTGTGATCTCTAAAAATGAAATATTAGCTAAATTCTCAATGGAAAAGAAAAGAAACTGGATTCTATTGTGATTGACCGTTTGAAAAGAGGATTAGATATTACACAAGTTATCTCTCTGTATGGCAATGAAACTGAAATACTTATTTAAGTTTCCAGAAAAGTGAAGCATATGGAGTATATAACTAAGGATAGGAAAAACATTGACAAAATTTGGCCCATGCAGGTCTCGAACCTGCGACCTTCGCGTTATTAGCACGACGCTCTAACCAACTGAGCTAATGGGCCTGTTGTTAGGATAGTGCAAATTAAAATATTTGACATGTGTTATCGGCTCAAAGCCTATAAATATGAGGAGCCAAAACCGTATTAAGGTGAATTTTGAAGAAAAAGAGGAAGGCATGAAGAGTAACGAGCCACGTTCAAGCTCATCTTGTGCAGCTTGCAAGTTCTTAAAGAGAAGGTGCACTCCCCATTGTCAATTCGCTCCATATTTCCGGTCCGACGAGCCCAAGAAATTCGCCAACGTTCACAAGGTGTTTGGGGCTAGCAATGTGAGCAAGATCCTGAACGAAGTGCCTGAGGATCAACGAGAAGACACCGTTAATTCTCTCGTTTACGAGGCCGAGGTGAGACTCAGGGACCCTGTTTACGGTTGCATTGGCGCTATAGCTTCGTTACAACGAAAAATGGTGGAGCTACAACATGATCTAATGCTTGCTCGAACTCGCCTTGCTTATTTTGCTGCAAAGCAAAATTCTACTACTAATTGTTCCTTAATGTTGGATTATGATCCTTTTAATGTTGCCAATATGATGCCTTCTGATTTTGCGGATGTTCCTGTCACCGCTGGGTACTTAGATAGCTATGTCCAAAATTCATTTGACATGGACCATTGTGCATCTACCAATGAGTTTGGTCAATTTCCATTCCCTTGATCACCAGTACCCCATATCTAGTTCTTTGCTTCTGTATCTAGTGTTGTTATTAATTAGTAGTACTAATAATTTGAAGGACTTTGCCAGAATGATAATGGAACTCCAACTCCATGGTATTTAATGTAATTATTACAACAGACGTGATGGGTTAATAACTTGTCAACAAAAAAGAAATTAGACTGCGAAATTCATTTCCATTTCTGCTGATGAAGGGTAATTTAACGTAAAGTTCCAAAGTAGGTTGTTGTTACATTAGATAGTTTAAACACGATGAGCTACTGTTTTTAGCTTTATCACAATGAATGACTGCTCAGTTGCTTCCTTTTTTCGTTCTCTTTTCATTTCCTTTTTCTCTTTCAATGAGTTGACTTCCTTTGGTTAAGAGTCCACACTTTAAAGATGGTCCAGCACTTTCCATTTCCAGTGGCATTTATATTATTGGAGGAAACATTAGAATTATATTTCATTCAATAAAATGAAAAGGAGTTCAAACAGGAAAAATAAGTTTAATGTTTACGCATTTGAGCTTTAGCGGTTCTATTTGACGTAAAACCATGGAGAAGATATTGGACATGTTTTTAAAGACATCAAGATCGCAGCAATAGTTAATTTGAAATAAAAAGTACGCAGATGATCATTAGTAACAAG